ATATAAATATATAAATAGGTAAATATATAAATATATATATAGATATAGATATATACATATACATATATTATATATATATATACAAATACATATAAATATACAAACACAAACACAAACACGGATACAAATACATATACAACATATATATATATATATATATAACCCTGTACCTGTGTCCAAATAACTATTCCTCATTGGCCCTGTACTCACACCACCCAACAAAACACTTCAAACGCTCTGTCGCTCACTTTATACCGATCGTGTTGGCACGTGCAGATACGGTCGTAGTGACAGTTGAATTGACATTTGGTCAACAGCGGGATGGTCTTGTACACCCGGCTACCACCGTGCGTGCGGCTGTGTGTGCCATACACTGCATGCGCATGCACACTCTCGTCAGCGTCATGTCGTGCACCGTTCTGCAACGCCCCAGATGCCGCGTGATGAGCATGGCTGTTTGTAACACCTACTGTGCTGATATGTGGCCACCTCTGTATGCGTTCGTCCCTCTCTCCCTGTGCAGTGTTGTGTGTGTCACCGTGCGTACTGCTGTGTGTCTCGTCCGTCTCCAGACGCCTCCGCGTGTAGGCGATATCGCCCGCTCTCCCATTGGTGACGTGTATAGGCCTTCTCAGGGGTCTTTCGTGCGAGCTTTGTCCCATTCTTACGCCAGGTATCTCTGATCCAGTCCCTATGGTTGCAATCCCATGCAGATCCGCGTCCCTAGTTGTGCGGTCTGACCGTTGATAGATCTCGCGCCTGAGAAATAGTATGATAATGACATAGCATTAGTTTTGAATTAGTGTCGACAACAAGAGGATAGCTGACTTCCCATCTTACTGGACTGGGGTAGTGAGTGTGTAGTTGATATCAATGAGGATTGTGCCAAGTATTTCGGTGCTGTTGATGTTGTACGGTCAATGTCGAATAAAATTTTAGGTACTTTCTACCCTCCGCCCCATGCACCTACACTCGGTATACCTACCCGCGTGTACTGTTAGTAGGAGTGCAATGTGAACATAGCCATGAACTTAATACATATTATGATTTTGATTTATAGTCACACAGTTATCCACCAAAGAAGAGTACATCGCATATAACCACCACAGCAAATGCAAAGCAAGCTTAATATAAACATCAACAAAAGAACATACACAAACGATATATCACATACAGCAACCATAACACACATAAAAAATATAAGACCAAACAGTAGACATCACACATGGGCGAATTCGGCTCACACAATTGACATCACAGACCTTTTAAATTGGCCCATAAGTGCTCGGAACGACCCCTCGCACCGAGTGATGCCACACTTCACCACGGCATGTAACGGGCGATGCCCCTGGGGAAAACAGGTGTTGGCACACATACCCAACTCAATCAGATAGCTAATGCTGTCCACCTGCACATCGAGGAGTTAGCTTGAGTCAGGCCATACGTCAAGTAGATAGATTATACGTCACTTATCTACCCTCTATTCTATATATAGATACGACGCAAATTATATGCTTTGAGGATACAACACAGGCCGCTAGCAATGTCACGGGGTCGACTACCACCGGCTGAGCATTCAACCGTGGTTCCCTATTCTAATGACAACTACTCATAAAACCTTATCTACCCCCTATTCTACACATAGAATTGACGCACATCCTATATATAGAAATGACGCACATCCTATATATGGAAATGTCGCACATCCTATATATAGAAATGTCGCACATCCTATACATAGAAATGTCACACATCCTATATATAGAAATGACGCACATCCTATATATGGAATAAGGCACATATTGTGCACTGATAATCCAACAGGCCGCCAACAGCCCCCAGGCTCGACTGATCTCTCAGCCGGGCTGCTCTATACTATTAAAATAGGTTCTCCGCAATTTTTACCTCCAGCTATCTATGGTTTAATACACCGCAAATAATACGCACCAACAACTCAACACAGGCCACCAACAGCCTCACAGGATCGCCTATCTGCGACTGATCTCTCAGCCGGGCTGCTCTATTCTATTAATAACTATTATAAAAAATGGCCCAGCATACATTCTATACGTAACGACAACGCAAATCTTACACACCGATATTCCAACACAGGCGGCCAGCAACACCACAGGATCGGTGATCCGTGGTTGGTCTTTCGATCGCGTCTCCTGGTGTGAATGGAAGAGTTTCAGGATTCCTATTCGCCCCATTTCAGCAGCTGAATTGGGAATTGGGATATCAATATTGGTATTAGGGGTTCAAATGTGGAAATTGGCGTGAGGGGTTCAGAATTTCAGTTTGTATAAATTTAGCAGTTGAATTGGGATGCGAATATCATTACTAGGGTTTCAATGTAGTAGTATGCGTGATGGGTTTCAGGATTCCACTTCGTCCTATTTTAGCAGTTTAATTGGGATATAAACATTGATATTGAAGGTTCAAATGTAGTATGCGTGAGAGGATTATGATTCCACTTCGTCCTATTTTAGCCGTTTAAATGGGACATGGATTATTAATATAAGGGGTCCAATGTGCCAATATGCGTAAAGGGGTTTAGAATTACAGTTCGCCCTATTTAAGGTTTAATTGCGATGGCATCCAGAGGGTCTTATCGCGTGTCACATGTAGTAGTCAAAAACGCGTGTTTTTCTGCAGATATTCCGTGTGTGCTGATAAAATAAGCGAGATTGGCTTCTATTCATAGAATGGTAAGGATGCAGATAGCAATAGGCATATCTGTCAAGTTTACGAAACAGGCACAAATATACTCTATATATCCAAAGTGCCGACATAAGCGGATATTATACATCTCATTGTAGGCATGCAGGAGGTTCTGCGGATCAGATCGAGATGTATAAGGGCGATTCCGCGTTTTCAATTGGGGCCAGATAAGTGCGTTCGAGCTTATATGCTATATTAGACACACACACATAAATATATATATATATATATATATATATATAGTGCGCGTCGTTGTTGTTGTTTGTGTGT